GGTTGTCTAGCTAATCACCAGAACTTTCTTTTCTAAAAAAAAAAAAAAAAAAAAAAAAAAAAAGTCTTTTTTTGTTTTAGAAAAGAGAGGAAAGGGAAACACTGATGTGAGAAACATCAATAGACTGCCTCCTGCATGGCCCCAAGCTTACAACCTGGCATGTGCCCCAATCCAGAATCTAACCTGTAACCTTTTGGTGCGTAGGATGACACTAAACCAACTGAATCACCTGGCCAGAGTAATCAATCACCAGAAGTTTCTAAATTATAGATTCCTAGTTCTCATCTATATTTAGTTAAATACTCTGGCACAAGGCCCAGGTGTCTGGGTTGTTAAAAGGTCTCAAAGTAATGCTGATGATCACAAGAATTGCATCCCCGTAATAGAATCTCTCCATCCAGTGCCTGAGTCTCATGCTGAGTTGTGCTAAGCATTTATGATGACATTAATATACCCAAAACTGAAAACAGAAGGACCATCTCCAGGTGACCACATGTACCCATTAATTATTGTTAGCATAACAAACTATTCCAAAACAAGTAGCTTAAAATGATAAGCACTGATTATGCTCACAAGTCTGTGGATCTGGATCAGTCTGTCTGAACTCTGCTGGGCCCACTCAAGTGTGAGGCCAACTGGCTGGTCTAGGATTGCCTCACTCACACACCTGTCTGGTATAAGACTGCTGTCACCAGGGTGACAAGGGTCTCTGGGACACAGCAAGTCCAGGAGTGTCCGTATGATGACCGGGCTGGATTCTGAGGGAATAGACAGAAGTATTCGAGACCTCTTAAAACCTAGGCTGGGGTCCAATATAATGTATACCTTTACTTCTGCACATTCTACTGGCCAAAGTAAGTTACAAAGCCACGCTCAGGTTCAGGGGCTGGGGAAACAAACTCTACTTCTTTCTGTTGTTGTTGTTTTAATTGATTTCAGAGAGGAAGTGAGAGGGAGAAATGATAGAAACATCAGTGACAAGAGAGAATCATTGATCAACTGCCTCTTGCACATCTTCTGCTGGGGAATCGAGCCTCTGACCCAGGCATGTGACCTGACCAGGAATCGAACTGTGACCTTCTGATTCACAGGTCGATGCTCAACCACTGAGCCACACCAGCTGGGCCAGACTCTACCTGATAAAAAAAAAAAAAAAAGCTACAAAGCCATATCACAAGGAACTAGATTCAAAGAGGGGAATCACTGGGGCCATTTTGACAACCAACTTATTCCACACCTAATATAATTGGAGAAAAAGATCAACTGCAGCCAACTGTGGTTTCTAAGTGTAGGCAAAACTTTTCGCTCTAATCTCAAATACTATAAAATCACCAGATTGAAATTGAATCAGCTATTCCTCATTTCTACTGCCTGCACACAAAAGCATCTTCTTACTTAATCCTCAAGATCTTGGTGTCAAACTAAAGCAAAAGGAATCTGTCTCAGCACTATTTTATTCATTATTTTATTCATTACTTGTTTACTTATTTTTATTATCCTACCCAAGGATATTTTTTTCACTGATCTTTTAGAGAAAGTGAAAGGGAGGGGGAAAGACAGAAACAGTGATGTGAGAGAAGCCCATCAATTGGTTGCCTCCTGCATGCCGCCCAGGGCCCTGCAGGTAGGAGCCTGCAACCGAGGTATGTGTCCTGGACTGGAATCAAACCCAGAACCCTTTGGGCTGCAGGCTGACAGTGAGCAAACTGGCCAGGGCTCAGCACTATTTAATATTATCCTTCGGGGGTTTTAAAGGTGGTGTGGATGACATGCCATCCTCATGGGGATTGTTCAGGGCAAATGTCTCTGTGATGTGTCTTCCTGGCTTGGGATGTGCCTACAGATGAAATGTGGCTGAAGGATCAGGGCTGCATCCTCCAAAGGATCCAAGGCATCAACAGGAGGAACACCGATGTGTAGTAAGAAATATTACAGGAAAAAGATAACATCCCAGACCAGCAAAAAGTCTAAGGAGCAGGAAACTGGAGCTCAAGGAAGATTACAGGCTAGGGCTAATGATACTTTAGCCACCGGCTGTGCCTGAGCCCTCTTCACTTTATATCCCTAGTTCACTCATCCTTGCCCCGACTGTGACCACTTAGGAAATGCACTAAAACTACGGTGGCTGAACTCACAGCTATAGTTATTATAGCATCCCTACAACCAGGGTGCTGCTTTCTGTGTTTTTTTTTTTTTTGTGTGTGTGTTTTTTTTAAATCACCATAACCTTTTGGTTAGCTCCACTCAATTCTCTAAGCACATACTTGTGAGGTCTGGGACAACAGGGGGTGGTAGAGAAATGAATTCCAGAAAACACAGGATGACAGAGAAGCGGTGGAGGCTGGGCTGGGATACAGAGAGTGGGAGGAGAAAGGCAAGGTTGTTGAAAATACCCAGTTTGGTTCCCATTTGTAAGGCCAGTTTTCAATCTGCCTGGTAGGGTCACTGCTTAAGAGACTAAACAGAAGGAGTACATGAAAACACGATGAAGGGGGGGGGGGGGGGGAAATGCTAGCTTCACCATGAAGATGCCTCAGAAATGCCAGATTCAAGAAGAAACCACACTTGTTTAGTTTATGAAGAAACCACAGGAAATTCTGAAACTGTGCAGAACAAGCCATCAATAGCAAACACTGCTGCCCGGCCATTGTGTCTCAGTGGTTGAGCATCGACCTATGAACCAGGAATTCATGGCTCAATTCCCTGTCAGGGCACATATTAGGATTAGGGCTTAATCCCCAGTAGGACGTGGGCAGGAGGCAGCCAATAGATGTCTCTCTCATGGATGTTTCTATCTCTCTATTCCTCTCCTTTCCTCTCTCTTTAAAATCAATAAAAACATACTTTCAAAAAATAGCAAACATTGTCCACTCTCCTCTACACTGGATTCTGTCCCTGAGCTCTGAGTCTGGGAGAGAAGTGCGTTTGGGAGGGATAACTATGTTTCTATACACCAATGCATAGTATCCACAGTGCATATGCCTACGGGGGCCAGATGGTTACTAGTATTGTTACAACCATGGGTTGAAGTGGTATCCATTTGATTTTCAATCATAACTGAAAAGAGCCACAAATGTAAACCTCCAATCTCCAATAAAATCATCATTATTGTTCCCACTCCCTTCTTGCTCACTCGGCAATAAAATAAATGGCATTCTTGAGTCACTTTCTAAAGAGCTGATTGATTGGTCACTCTTTGCTTTAGATTTATTAGCCAAAGGGAAACCTGAGCTATAAGGAAGCAGACTACTGGCATTATTATCACAGAAACATTATAATGACAATGACAAAGAGTTACTAATTTCAACAAGAAACCATACTCGACTTTCCTAAAACTTAGCAGAGGGGTATGCACTCTAAGAAGCGGATTTGCACCCTGTCTGTGCCCTTCCTGCCTTTTCTTGATACACCAATTTTTAGAGCTGTTGTTTTTTGCTGGTCTAAAAATCTACATAGGGTCAGTGTAGCTTGCTCCTAACAGAGAATCCTTAAGTTGCCCACACAGCGGTGCCAAGAAAGAAACTGCTGCATTCGTAGATACCTGGGCACAGGCCAAACTTTCACATGTGTCATGGGAGTGCCTCTGGCTTGGGCAGCTCCCTTCACCGTTCTCCTATAAAACCCTTAGCTCAGCATCTTCACCCTCTAATGTCATCAGGACGTAATTCCTCTTGTCTGTTCAAAGAACAGGGCCGTCTCAGACGGACTACGTACATAGTACAGTATCAAATTAGTATTATCATAGCCTTCTTCTTGAGCTCTCCGCAGGTATGAAAGCTTGGGCTCGGCCAGCACCAGAGGCAGCAGCTGTATTTCTGCCATGCCCATGCAATCCTTAGCCTGTGTTTGGAATGAGTTGTATTCCTTCATCTGCCCATACAATCCAATAGTTTGAGTTTTGTTTTTTGTGGTTTTTTTTTTTTAATATTTTTATTGATTTCAGAGAGGAAGGGAGAGGGAGAGAGACATAAAACATCTATGATGACAGAATAATTTATCTGATGCCTCCTGCACACCATTTACACACACACACACACACACACACACACACACACACACACACACGCCCGGGGATCAAGCCCACAACCTGGGCATGTGCCTTGACCGGGAATTGAACCATAACCTCTTGGCAATAATTTGTGTTTAGAGTAAGTTGTATTGCCTGCGTTTGGAATAAATATTGAAATCAGAAGCCTGTTAACAATGCAGCGCTTGATGGCTGTGAATTACTCTCACCCACAGCAGCTGAAGGAGAAGGCCTGGCATCAGCCCCCCACAACAAGCCTGCTCCCCAGCCTCCTTGATGTGCCTTCCAACCCTCCCCTCAAAGGATTCTCGTCACACCATACAAAGATCTCTGTTTTCTCCCTTCAATCCCACATGAATCCCACATTGAGCATCTGTTTTCTTCACAGAGCACCACAGATTTAATTCAATACTTCCATGCTCATCTATATTTAATTAGACCAACGTATCTTTAAACTCTTTGACTCAAACCCTTCCGCTGGCATCTTCCATTCAACGCGAAAATCTTTTAAAAAGGGTTTTCTGTTTGCTCGGTTTGTTTTGTTTTGAGGCAAAACGTCATCATGATCTATATTAAAGCTCTGATAGCAATTTAAGCTACTTTTCAACCTGTCAGAGGTGCTCATAAAATTCCCACAATCCTTAGCACCTTTAATTCTTCAAAACATATTTGATAAGCAATGTAGTCTTTCATTTCTTTCCCCCTTACAGGGCCAAAAGGGTAAGTTGTACTAACCAGAGGTAATTAGTACATTAAGTTTGGTTTCCAGGCCAGGCTATCAGGTTACAAGTTCTAATAAATCCTGCTGGGAAAAGACACTTCTTTGTCTTGGGGTGACTGAGAACTAAGGAATCAACCACACAAAACCCTTCAATTCCATCAGAAACTCTCCCGTCTAAACACAATAGAAAAGAGAAGCCAAACCCCAAAGCAGAGAAAATGAATGAAGTGGTCCCTCTGCTGGCAGCCTTACCATTGGGAGTGGAGGTCCCCTCTGGACCCTCTGGACCCTCACACGGGCTCTGGCTGCTCCTGGAGTGGGGTGAGGGTGGCGAGGGGTCCAGGCCGTGGGTGCGGGTGGAGGTATGCTCCGTGCAAGCCTGAACAGGACTCACCGCCGTCTGCCTGCCTGTCTGCCACTCCGTCCTCTCGTCTGGGTGGGAAGGGCCAAGAAGAAAAAAAAAATGTGCAGGTTACTCACTGGCCTTCCCAAGCAGGCGGGCACACCCAGGAGGAGGGAGAGGCAAGGCGCAGATGGGGAGCTTCCTCAGAGGCAGGGCTCGAGATCTTGCTTCTGACTCCTTTTGTTGATACTTCCTGAACTTTAAACAACCTGCGCAGGCCTGGGTACTTCGGGGAGGCAAATAACACTTGAGTAATTAGATTCTGGGGCTTAATGCAAAGGTTACTTTGAAAAGGCGATGCTTCGGCACACACACTTTCAGATGGAACTCTGAAATTGGTTTCCACTGGGCTCGAGCATGAACGTGGCCCGGGAAAGGCAGGAAAGGGGCTCCCATGGTGCAGGGGCTTGGAATGGCCTGGAGCGGGCAGAGCTGGATGAGATTCAGACAGTGAATGTCACTGTTTTTCGGGCTCTGAATTGTAGAGGAACAGGATTGTTTGCCTTGCCTAAGAAGCACATTCTTGAAACAGGTATCTGAAAATCAAGAGTTTAGAAATGGATTACCATTGAAAATGCAAAAAAAAAAAAAAAAAAAGAATCTCGCCACCTGATAGTCTGGCCTTTGATAAAGCCTAAAATGAAGCTTTGCATCAATAGAGGGCCCTGGGGTAATTTCTTTTGGTAAGTTTGGTGTTTGCAAACAGAGGCACGACAGTGTTATCATAGAAGGAAATGGACCCATGGAGCGGAGAGTGAGGAGGAGGAACTAACACCTCTTAGTACCACTCAGGACCAGGTTCTTCTCTCACTTAAGCCTGGAAATGCCTACAAGAGGGGGCATCATTGCTTCTCTTTCACCTGTGAGTGAGCACCCTGAGACCCAGAGGTTAGGCAACCTGCCCAGGGCTCAGCCACCCTGTGAGTGGAAGACCGAAAGTCTGGGCCCCAGTTTGCCTGGATCTAAGACCCACCATACCCCTGGGCAAGTCTTCCAACATTCCTGAAGAAATATTCTTCCAACATTCCTGAAGAAATATTCACTTGCATTTGACCTAAGGCTAGGTTAGCTTTTCTTAAATATGTACACCGGTTGCAAAACCGATATGCTATCCTATATAATAAAAGCCTAATACGCAAACTGTCCCCTTAACCAGGAGTTCGAACTGAAGTTCAACTGTTCACTAGGACATGTGCTGACCACGAGGGGGCGGTGCGGAACATGTCAGGCATAGGTGATGAGGCATTGGCAATGGGTGGCAGTGGAAGTGCTGCCAGCCCCAATGGGCTTCCAGGTGAGCCAGGCTGCAGCCGCCAAGTTCACAGGGGCCGATTGGGCTCCCTGTATGTTTGCCCAGAAGCTGGTCTGCGAGGCCAACTGGGAGAGAGAGAGCATTGCCCACCCGGCTTCCTTGCAGCACCATTGGGCAGCCCGGAGGCCCACGCTGTGCCCCGGCCCCTGGCTTGGCTGGCCGCACTCACCGCATCTACGCATGGGGACTTGGACGCTATGACTCAGGTGGAGGGGGACGCATGGGGGCCCAGAGGCTCAGGTGCTGCCCAGGACCAGGTCAGATGGGACCTGCCCTTCCATACCAGAGGCTCACCAACCAGGCCTAGGGACTGCACCTGTGCACAAATTTCATGCACTGGGCCTCTAGTAGAATATAATGCTGCAGGATAATAGATACAATAGAGGTAATAAAAAAATGTACAATCAGATTTCTTTACTGTAGCTTCTCACGACCTTTACTATCTAATATATATTATCAATTTCCCATCTGGTGACTTACATAGTGCCATGTTTCCTTCCCCAGAGCTTTTTTGCTTAGAAGGAGATCTTTTGTTTTTTTTTTGGTTTTTTTGGTTTTTGTTTTTTTAAATATATTTTATTGATTTTTTACAGAGAGGAAGAGAGAGGAATAGAGAGTTAGAAACATTGATGAGAGAGAATCATCGATCAGCTGCCTCTTGCACACCCCCTACTGGGGATGTGCCCGCAACCATGGTACATGCCCTTGACCGGAATCGAACCCGGGACCTTTCAGTCCCCAGACCGACGCTCTACCACTGAGCCAAACCGGTTTCGGCTTAGAAGGAGATCTTTTGGGTTTGGGAAGCACTGTTAAAGAGATGGGTTACTGTAGTTTTCTCTCCACTGTGGTCTGAATGTTTGTGTTCACCCAAAATTAATATATTGGAGTCCTAATGCCCAATGTGATGGTGTCAAAAAGTGGGGCCTGAGGATGGAGGCCTGGTGAAAGGAATTAGTGCCCTTATAAACGAGATCCCACAGAGCTGCCTGGTCCCTCCCACCATATGAGGATACACCAGAGAGATGACCCTATCTGACCATGTTCACACCCTGATCTCAGATTTCCAACTTCTTTACCTATGAAAAATAAATCTCTGCTGTTTATAAGCCAGTCGGTCTGTGGTATTGTTTCATAGCAGCCTGAAAAAAACTAAGACACCTTCTTTTTCTGTGGTCTTCTTTTTTAAGTTTTATGAATTTATAAGTCAAAGTCTACCTATTCTAACAACCAATTCCTTTCCCCAAAGGTAAGCACCATTAAAATTTTTCATGTATCTGCTTAAGGCATGTTTATGCATATACAGCATATAGGAATACGCTTTAAAGAATAACCCAACGGGGACTGAAGTATTTATTCATTTGGGGCCTGCCCTGCCCTCTAATTTAGCGTAATCTTCATGTCAATACATTTGCTTCTTCTTCTCACACTCACAAAGGCCATCCATCCAGAAAGAAGTCCACAGCTGGCATAAGTAGTGCAGCCCTGCTCTGATGAGCGCACACGTTTAAAAGGTTCTTCTGCGGCCAGGAGTAGGGAAGGAACAAGCAGGCCCAGGGTCCCAGCTCTGCTATGGATGCTCCAGTCAAGCCACAGGTGGGGGTTCCAGTGTCCTCGTCTCTAGAGTGAGCATGAGAGCACCTCCCTCAGGAGGTGGATGTAGAATATTTATAAACAGCAGAGTACCGCACAAGAAGCAGGTAGTGACCAGCTCCTGCCTCGCAAGACATGCCAGCTGGAGCCCAAGAAATGCTTTAACAGAGGAACCAGGTTATTTCTGTCGTTCATGATCGACCAGCCTTGGCCTGCTCAGCCGCTGCTCCCAGAATAGGTCCATCAGAACACTGACTAGTTCGAGAGCACTGTTCCAGTAGGAAATGAGCCAGCTTATTTTCATGTGGATGTTTTTACCTGCTCTTCCTCTCCCTTTCCCCTCCGCTCAGTCTCTCCCCACAAACCCCCTTTGAACACAGACCTTTTCCTCCATTCCTCTTGCTCTATCAGACCTTCTGAACTACTTCCTGTTCACATATTTATGAAACTAATTTCAAACTTCTGGTTATGGAAAATTTCAAATGCATATAAAAGTGAGAGAAAGGTGTAACAAATCACCAGCTTCCACAGTGAGCAATTCAATCAAACCTTGTTTCGCCTCTATCCCTACCCACTCGGGAATATTTTGAAGCAAATTCTCAGTATCACACCATTGTATCCATAAACATTTCTACATGCATCTCTAAAGGATAAGGACTCTGCTTGTAAATAAAACCAAAATGAACTGTAATTACTTCTTATCTAATATCCAGTCAGTATAAAATTTTCTCCATATGCCTCAAAAAATTTTTTTGCACTCTGTTCAAATCAATCCTGCAATTAATTGATAAATGTTGCCTTTGCTCATCTAAAGTTTCTTTTCTCAGCTTTAGTTTTTCCTTGCAATTTATTTGTTAATAACTTGATTCTTTTGTCATATAGCTTGTCCCATAATCCACAATTTAATGATGGCATGATTTATTATGAATTCACTAGGGGTCTGTTGCAGGAAGATTCCTACAAGCAGCTGCGCGCCACCGCCACCACTGCCCACCCACGCTTTCCCTCTGGTAGCTGCCTTGCTTTCCACTTTTCCTCCCTCTTCCTTCTACGCTGTCTTCAGTCTTCACTCCTCCCTCTCTCAGTGTATGCAAATTAACTGCCATCTTTGTTGGGTTAATTTGCATTCTCGCTCTGATTGGCTATGGGCATAGCAAAGGTCCGGTCAATTAGCATTTTCCCCTTTTATTAGTGTAGATAGTAAGATCTGGAGATTTGATCAAATTCAGATTTGAGTTTTGAAATGAATAGTAGTTGACAGGTGGTTTTCTTTGAGGAGGCAACTCATACTTGACTATCTCTAGTTTTGTGACTTAGCAGCCAACTAATAGTCAGTGCTTAGGTATCACTCCATAGAGACAAGAAAATGGTCATATTCTCCCATTACTTCTCCATTCATTAATCAGGGTTCTATTATGATTAAAGATTTTACATTTGCCTAAATGAAAGCATATATTTTCCATTTGTGTTTTTGGCCACAAGGAGTTATGACAGATGATAGATATACCATCAATTCCTTATTATCTACATATTTCATTAAAAATCTATTATACAAAAAGATGATTTGGTTTCATTTAAAAAAAAAAAACATACAAAAACCCCACTATGCCATTAGATTTCTGGGAGAAAAGCAAAGAAACATTATCCAGAAACTTTTAATCAAAGGATGGAGCAAGACTGGTCCATATACATCATTCACTTTTAACCTTGATTCTATATGCTATCACTTGCGAGCTCTGTGACTTTGGTAAAAGTTTTTAGCATTTTTATCCCTAGTTTTCTCTATAAAAATGGGGATAATACTTGCCTTATGGTTTTTATAAGGACTCATGATAAATTATGCCAAGAACTTCTTTTGGTGTCAAAAAAAAAAAAAAAAAAGTAGATTCTCAATAAATTGGTAGTTACTACAAGTTCAACCACTGTTTCTCCCATACCTACCTATCACAGTGCCTTGCAAACAGCAGTTGCTCAATAAATGTTAGGTGAATAAGCATAGGGCCAATTAGCTTTGCATTGTCCCAAGCCAATGATGGCTTTAATATTTCAAGATGCTGGGATATAAAAATAAACAAAACTAAGTATCTGCTCATGAATTTACACTTAATTATAAGTAGGAATTTA